TGCTCCTCCAGGGACTGCAGATGGAAGTGATGAGTAAACCCAGCTTCCTGCAGATGATGATGTCATAAAGAGCTCTGACTGCCCCCCCCGCCCCCCCCCCTCATTATTACAATAAATACTGTAATGCAAATTCACCTTTATCCACCCGTTTGTTCCCTGGACCATTTTGACATTTCTCTCTTTCTCATTTCTTCCTGACTTTCTGTGCTGCAACATTTATTTTCACTTCTATTTCAAGTGTTTGACATTTGTCTAAATCACTTTTCTCCAACCAGGTCTGCAATTATTTTTTAAATGTCATAGCGACATGTTTATTCACTGTTAATTTTCCTCAAAAAAAAAAAAAAAATCCCATTTTTATTGCTTCATGCTTGTTTTGGTTTTTTTTTCTCCTTTCTTTTTTAATGAATGTTTTTACTCTCACATCCCAGCATCCTCTGGGTCTCTCCCCCCCCCCCCCCCCCCCACCTGACTGCCTCTCTGCTCCTCTGTTTCAGACCGTCTCAGATTACTACAGATTGATTAGTGATGTTTACTCCCAGTAAGGATTGGGGCGGTCACTGGTTTTCCAGCGGGAGCACACTCCGTGCCATAAATCTGTCTGAAGACGTGAGCTGTGACACTGCTGTGTGTGTGTGTGTGTGTGTACTAGAAAAGATGGATTTCTGTGGCAGGTTGTTAGATTGTGCGTGTTGTTTATACACTCCTGGGGACCAACCGCAATCATGGGAAATGATAAAAAATGGTGGAATGTTACTTGAAGTGAAGCCATTTGCCATTTGTCACCTTTTAAACGGGGCAGTTTGGAGGTCAGAATTCTTGGCTTCTGCTGTGCTTAAATGTCGAAGAAAAAAATTGTTTTTGCGCCCGCGTGTGTGTGTGTGTGTGTGTGTGTGTGCAGGCTTTACGTGCGGGAGATTGTAAGGGAGAAAAAGTGATTCGTCTTGACAGAATGTAAAGCTGCATAAATAAAAGTTCCAGTGACTAAACAGTTCTTTTCACACTGTTCAAAATCCTTGGACTTATTGATTTATTCCAACTGCATGCTGCTCTAAGGCTGCGCTCCAAACCCTGACTGGGCATCAACAGGCACATGCAGCCCGGGGTCGAGCATTAAAAAGGATGAGAGGGTGTCAAGTTTGAATCCCATTCTGGCTGTGGTGTGTTCAGTGGGAACCAAGAAAAGCCTTCCTTCCCTGAGCGCTGCTGAATAAACACTGACATGAAGATGACACGTTCTGCCATGTGTGTATTTGTCTGCGTACAGCACGTAAAACTACTCAGACTTTACTTCTTCTACAGCAACTATATTTGTCGGAGGGCAGACACCTTTGGGGCCGGACATAAAATGAAAACATTTTTGTTTAACATTAATATTTGATGTTTATTATGGAGTCTAGATGAGGACCAGATCAAGCCCGCGGGCCGCCAGTTGATGGTCACTGTTATACAGAATGTGGTTTTCCACAGATTGTGACACAGTAAATACATGTTTACATTTTTGGTTTTTTTAAATGACATCACAGCCTTTATTTATATGATACTGTATTTCACAGGGACATCAATTATTCCACAAATATGAACTCAATTATGAACTAAATGCTATCGCCATGACACCGTCAAGCTTAACATTTCAAATTCAGTTCATATTTTCAAATAAAAGTATTTTGAAAAATAACTGAGAATACCTTTAGGCTGATGAAAATATAACTAAGAAGTGTATGTACAGTATGCTAAAGGGCTACACCAGTACTTCTCAAATAGTGGGGCGAGCCCCACTTGGGGGCACAGTGAGGTGCCGGGGAGGCATGAGGGGCTTCCAATGGAATATGACACGCTGGACATCAGTGTCACCACTGCTGTAATGCTTGAATGATAACAAGCCTCCAGTCACTAGGTGGCAGCAACTCATACAGTGGTTTGTACAGATTAAAATATACGTTATGACTCTATCAATAGTATTTTAATTCGCGGGGGTGTGGGTCGGAGGCGGGGTGGGGGACATGAAAACATTTCTGTCCCCAAGGGGGTGTCATGACAGAAAATAATTAAGAACCACTGGGCTAAACAAACCTCAAATTTAGTGAAAGATAAATGTTAAAGAGACTAAAGGTGCGAATTAATACACATAAAAACTGCATATCTACTGATGTTGCGTGTACTGTATGCATCACTAAACAAATTTCCTCCAGGTTCTATGGTATTTATATACAGTACAAGGAAGCATAACGAATCAACTGAAGCGTGGTGAATATGCCTTTATGCAAAACCGCTGGTCACCAGTTCAACTGAAGCAAGTACTTGCATGCTGTGAAAAGGGGGACATGCTGCCACACACGCTGTACACGTGTACATTCACGTGCACGAGGAACCTACGCAGTGAGTGGGCTTGTTGTTACGTCCCCCTCTGTTGGAGGCAGGAGATAACAAGCTGACCGTGTTCAAGACAGGTGTTCAAAAAGCAGGCGCAGCTCCCAGGAGAAACGATGGACGGACAGACGGAGCGGGAGGACGAGAAACAAAGTGGTAAAATGGGGAGGAGGGGGGACGTGGGGGGGGTTCTGACTGTGATGTCAGGTGAGAGTCTGACGAGGTAAACAGTCTGGAAGGTTGTAGGGTTGGATGTAACCTGTGATTTTTGTTCTAAAACAAGGAGCAAGAATCAGAGCTGATCTTCAAATCAACATAAACACCAGATACTGATGCTGATACTCCCTTTGTTGAGTACTTTCATGAGAGTACACACGCAGTAGAGACACAAACAGGTGGAGGTTATACTGTATCTACTGAGATAACAAAGCACTGACTTTTAACATCCTGGAATGTTTCCAAGAATAAAATACAGACGTCCGTCATTATGCTGACGACACTGTGATTTTCACTGCAACGTGAACTCTTAAAAACATAGAAAATGACAGGCTAATGGCCTTTTATAAAATTAGTCCAATCAGCATCATCCAAATGTGGAATTTCATCATTTATCATTTCCTTTCCGCTGCCAATGGCTACCATAACATTGTGATTCTTTTTTAACATCCTGGAACGTTTCCAAGAATAAAATACAGACGTTCGTCATTATGCTGACGACACTGTGATTTTCACTACAACATCTTCTACACATCCAACTTGAGTCTATTTAAAAAAAAAACATTAAAAAGTAAAAAAACAAAAACATGGACAATGACAAGAAAAAACACAAAAACCTTTCCACTGCCAATGGTTTCCATAATATTGCGATGTTTCCTGTTTACTTGACTTACTGGGCTTATGGGTCTATTTTGCCTTTTCACTGAGGAGTTCTCTCCAATATTGGCACCGGGGTAAATGTTGGCGCAGACGTACCATTGTTTATAAGCTTTAAGTTTTTAAGTTTTCTGACTCTGCCTAAATATTTAATTGACCTCCAGCAGATTTTACAATCAATGTAAAAGGAAAATGAATGAGGTAGAAAACTGGGGGAAAAAGGGAAAAATATCACATTTGAAACAAACCTGAAGCACAAACCGAGCTACTTATAAGGCCAATTACATTTAATCAATAACTTTAATGATTTTTTTTCACCCTTTAAAACAGATTCTTTTTCGTTTTTTTAATTGCTCGTCTCTAACCATTGCGCTGATGACCTGTTATCAGAGTAATTCCCGTGAGTCATGATCAGACCCTATAAGCTGATTAAAGACCTCAGAGCACTCTCAAGAAAAAGCCCGTGAAAAAGTCAATGGAACTAAAAAAGTACTACAAAAAATAGGAGCCTTGGGGCAAATCTAGTGGCTGACTTGAGTCGGTGATCCAGGCCTTCATGTGATAACCCCACAAAATCTCTATGTGGCAGTAGCTTCAATGTTGCCTTCATGGCATCAACAAATAAACAGTTTGCCGTTCTCAAGTGGTGCCCCACCTGTAAGCAAACCTACGCCAGGGGTAGATCGCTGCTCATTAAAGCCCCATTAGTGAGTCACATCATTACCTGTTTACTCCTTTCACCAACTTCGCCTCCCTGTCTCCTGCTCTCCTTCACTCTCTCTCTCTCTCTCTCTCACTCTCTCTCTCTCTCTCTCTCCCTCTGCCTCTCACTGTGTGTTAGCCCGCCAGCTGCCTCACACTCCAGAGGATATTCCAATTAGAGGCAACATACGCCAAAACACCAATGTGCAACGGTGGATATTCCAATTAAATACAACACACACAGGACAAATGCACTGGCAGGCAAATACTCAAACATATCGCTGGTGGACGTTCTAATTAGGCGACTAAACTTAGCACGGATGCCAACAATGCAGGCGGCTTAGGCTAGCCAGATAGTACACATGCACACGCTCTCTGGCCAAAAAGGAGTCGCAGTACTCCTTCACCCCGTAGTGGTAAAAAGAGCACAGACATCTGCAGTTAGTCTGTCGAAAACACAACCTAGGTTAAAGGTCAGAGGAGCTGCCCACAGTCATGAGGGCAACTGTTGAAAACTTTAACACTGTGTTCATGCGTCCGTATCTGGGAGATAAGTAGGACTGGTTTTTGTACTAGTTGTGGAAAAATAAAACAGGTTTAAAAGTGAAATCTAAATACTGTATTTCTCAAAGAAAAATCAAGTTTTCAGGCCAACAAGGAAAAATACCACTGCTGTACAAGAGCAAGGACACACATACTGTAGGAAGTACGCGTTAGGAAGTACTGTATGTGAAGTACACTTATATACAGGAATGGCTTTGAATTTTTGATTGATATCTCTTGTGTATCTTATGGTATATTTGTAGCCTGTGTGAAGGTTTACAACGGACAAGGACATGTGGTCACCAGGTGTCCTCTCAGTCTTACTGGGAAAATGATGAGTTTATGAGTCTCATAAAATGGGAAATGTCAAGCTAAGGCTGCTCCAGAGTTTCAGAGGAACCGATTATTATGAAATTTAACATAAAATCCTTCCGTATTTGTTTATCGGTGAACATGTATTCACTTAGTATGATATAAAACTATACATCTATGCTAACGGGCTGACTACTCACCCTCTCTGCAGACTGTGACGTGCCAAAGAAGATGGGTATGAACGCCAGCCAGATGATGCAGGTGGTGTACATGGTAAATCCAATGGGCTTGGCCTCGTTGAATTTCTCGGGAACCCCTCGCGTCTTGATGGCGTAAACTGTGCACGTCACCATCAGCAGGATGGAATAGCCCAGGGAGCAGATGAGTGACAGGTCGGAGATGTCACACTTAAGGACGCCGCGGGCCAACATGGGGTCCTGGGTGCGCTGCTCACCAAAGTCCACGACGGTATGGGGAGGATCCGTGGCGAACCAGACGAAGACTCCCAGGAGCTGAACTGAGATCAGGGAGAAGGTGATGACCAGCTGGGAGGCAGGAGAGATGAACCTGTGCAGGAGATGAGTGACATACAGTAAGGAGGAGGTGCACTCTGGGAAAACTGCTGTCAGACTGCTGTGTGAAGCCAAAACAAAACACACAAAAAAAATAACGCTAATTTTCTCCTCAGCAGGAGGTTTGGTTGTTTATGTCTAGGTGTGAATACATTATTTTAAAAATAATTCACCTGAATAAATCACTGCCTATGATATGGATTTTAAAGTCACTTTGTATTAATTTTATGTATGTAAATGTGTAACTGTCAATTTGTTTTTTGTTTGGCTAACAGTTCAAAAATATTTAAATTATTAGATATTTGTATGTATTTTGTCAAATCTATTTACTTCTGTCTATTATTTTAAGCTAGCATAGGCTAACAGTTCTCTCACAGGTGGCGTGTAGGTATCCTTAAGCTAACATTTGGCTAGCCTGCGCAAACCTCTAGCCGCCTGTGATCTGTTGATTTATGCTGTTATCCCCTTTTTGATGGGTTAACATTAAGCTAATGTTAAGCTACCATTAGCTACCATTAGTGTCTGCTGTTACCTTAGCTAGTTTTTGCTACATTTTTGACCAGGCTGGTACATGGCTCCAGTTTTATATGATTAACAATGTGTCCAAAAAAAGTCAGAAAAAAATCAACTTTACAAAAAGCCGTCTTAAGTGAAAGTCAGGGCAAGAAAAGCTTTGATGAAAAACAAAGATGACCCTGTGTGCAGCTACCGTTGCACTTTGAACCTGAACGGTGTTCAATTTTGCATTAACATTTTAGCCACTCATCGGATTCACTTCCTCCGAGTCACTCACACTGAGTGCAAACAGTACAGTAGGTGAATGTGAGTTCACGGCTCTCATCCATAATGTATGAAAGAGAAATGATGAATAATGATTACAGACAGCCTAGTAAAGTAGGCAGAAGTATTTAGAGGGTGGAACGGTTTACAAATGAATGCTAATAGCTGAGAGCCAAAACAGAGCAATTTGACTGTGACCTTTAGCCACGATGTCAAATCGCGGCCTGCGTGCTCTGATCACTCATTCATACCGAATGCAGGAAAAGTGTACAGTGACGGACGGCTGTTGTTTTCACCTGGGCGCTGTTACGGACTTCTTCCCTTGTTCAAATATGCGGTGTATCCTGTTAGTCTTTGTGAGCAGAGCGGCGTAGCTGAAACACATCCCTAAGCCCAGGAAAATCCTCCTGAAGGAACACACTCCCACGTCGGGCGTAGAGATCATCAGGAAGGTGATGGCGTAGCAGAGGAAGATCCCCGTCAGGAGCACGTAGCTCATCTCCCGGTCCGACGCTCGCACAATAGGGGTGTCGTTGTAGCGCACGAAGGTGACGATGACGAAGGAGGTGGCGATGATTCCCAGCATGGAGAGAAAAACGGGAACCACGGCCCAGGGGGAGTGCCACTCCAGCTTGATGATGGGAATGGGGATGACCAGCTGGGAGGCAGGAGAGATGAACCTGTGCAGGAGATGAGTGACATACAGTAAGGAGGAGGAAAACTGCTGTCAGACTGCTGTGTGAAGCCAAAACAAAACACACAAAAAAAATAACGCTAATTTTCTCCTCAGCAGGAGGTTTGGTTGTTTATGTCTAGGTGTGAATACATTATTTTAAAAATAATTCACCTGAATAAATCACTGCCTATGATATGGATTTTAAAGTCACTTTGTATTAATTTTATGTATGTAAATGTGTAACTGTCAATTTGTTTTTTGTTTGGCTAACAGTTCAAAAATATTTAAATTATTAGATATTTGTATGTATTTTGTCAAATCTATTTACTTCTGTCTATTATTTTAAGCTAGCATAGGCTAACAGTTCTCTCACAGGTGGCGTGTAGGTATCCTTAAGCTAACATTTGGCTAGCCTGCGCAAACCTCTAGCCGCCTGTGATCTGTTGATTTATGCTGTTATCCCCTTTTTGATGGGTTAACATTAAGCTAATGTTAAGCTACCATTAGCTACCATTAGTGTCTGCTGTTACCTTAGCTAGTTTTTGCTACATTTTTGACCAGGCTGGTACATGGCTCCAGTTTTATATGATTAACAATGTGTCCAAAAAAAGTCAGAAAAAAATCAACTTTACAAAAAGCCGTCTTAAGTGAAAGTCAGGGCAAGAAAAGCTTTGATGAAAAACAAAGATGACCCTGTGTGCAGCTACCGTTGCACTTTGAACCTGAACGGTGTTCAATTTTGCATTAACATTTTAGCCACTCATCGGATTCACTTCCTCCGAGTCACTCACACTGAGTGCAAACAGTACAGTAGGTGAATGTGAGTTCACGGCTCTCATCCATAATGTATGAAAGAGAAATGATGAATAATGATTACAGACAGCCTAGTAAAGTAGGCAGAAGTATTTAGAGGGTGGAACGGTTTACAAATGAATGCTAATAGCTGAGAGCCAAAACAGAGCAATTTGACTGTGACCTTTAGCCACGATGTCAAATCGCGGCCTGCGTGCTCTGATCACTCATTCATACCGAATGCAGGAAAAGTGTACAGTGACGGACGGCTGTTGTTTTCACCTGGGCGCTGTTACGGACTTCTTCCCTTGTTCAAATATGCGGTGTATCCTGTTAGTCTTTGTGAGCAGAGCGGCGTAGCTGAAACACATCCCTAAGCCCAGGAAAATCCTCCTGAAGGAACACACTCCCACGTCGGGCGTAGAGATCATCAGGAAGGTGATGGCGTAGCAGAGGAAGATCCCCGTCAGGAGCACGTAGCTCATCTCCCGGTCCGACGCTCGCACAATAGGGGTGTCGTTGTAGCGCACGAAGGTGACGATGACGAAGGAGGTGGCGATGATTCCCAGCATGGAGAGAAAAACGGGAACCACGGCCCAGGGGGAGTGCCACTCCAGCTTGATGATGGGAATGGGGACGCAGCCGGTGCGGTTGGCGTCTGGTCGCATTTCATACGGGCACAGCTCACAGGTGAACTCTGAAGCCTGAGGAGGACAGATTTGGACACATTTTATATTTAAACAAGCTTGCGAGAAGAGAAAAAAAAAAAAGCAGAAAGGATTTTTTTTCTCCACAGCTGCTCGTAACTGGTGTGTCTTGTCTTTTGTCACGTTGCAATTCTGTTTTCCATTCAGTGAAAATCCCCAAACTACTGTAAATGTGCCAACAGATTATCGATTCTGGAGCGAATGCATGTATCTGCAAAATGAGTATTGATCGTTGGCTGTGACAACCATCACCAGCTGCTGCTACGGCAGCTTGGTTTTTCTTTTCATATTAGGTCCTCAACAAAACTTATTTTCTTTTACACGTGAAAATCCAAGGGAATTTGTAAAAATGTACATTATGTTGACATGGGTTTCCTTCTGATGAGGCTTATAATTTTGGAGATTTCCCCTATTTAAGAAAATCAGAATCGTGTTGTGATAATTCAGGAACATCGAAGCACTGAGATCTAACGTTGAAAATCCTGGTCCGTACTTTTTCCTGTACAACAAATGTAGCACCAAGACACCGTGAAACCAAAATGGCACCTTTTATTTACTGAGGTGTGCAGAACGTGGCAACGTACACCAACGAAACAACAACAAAAATGCAAATTGATTTATGTTTGTGCCGAGTTTTACTGTGAACAGGCTGTGAACCATGAAATGCAACTCGTCCGTCAGCGTGGACTTCAGCAGAGAGTTTCCTGGCAGTGAAGAAGAACTGGAGCTGGAGCTCCGCACAAACACGCTTTACTCACCGCTGGTCTCATTCCATATCAGTCACAATGTGTGGGAGCTTTATTGTCGTTTTGAATTAAATCCATCCATCCATTCAGAACGGAAATTAACTTTTTTATGTTTTTATTTTTGCATGTTATTTGAGGAATTATTGTAGCAAGAAAAACGAACAGGCAAAATATGACAAATTATTTGGCTATCCAGCAGATAATTAATGTTTTAATTTTTCTAAAAATAATGTAATTATCAGTTTCTCATATATTTGTAACAAATATAGGCAAACATCATTTTTTCTCTCTCTTGCCTATGTTAGCAACTCTTAGCTACATTTGAAGGTTAGCTAGTTTAAATTTGTATCTGTATGTGTATAAACTATTTGTTTGAGCGTTGAAAATTTTAGCCTTTTCTATGCTAACTTTTAGAATTCCAAAGCTAACTTTTTGAATTTCAAATTTCAGATGGAAACTTGCTGGTTAGCCTGTTAGCATAGACTTGCTGGCAATATATTTTAGCTCTCCACAGTTAAAGAATGTAGAACTAGGTTGGGTTAGCTCTTTTTAAGCTAGCATTATGTTACGTTTACATGGATTTGTTACAGTATTTGTCTTGAAACAGACTTGCAGTGACTTACTGGCTACTTTTAAGGTAATGCTAATCCAGTCTGCTATAATGTAACTACATGCTAAATACATTGTTTAAATATGGTTAATGCAGTACTTGGTTCTGTTTGTAGCCCAGATGAACCTTCAGAGTTTTGGTTGAAATTTCCACAGTGCTTTTTTACTAATGTTGTACTAATTTCTACTGATTTATTCAATGTTTACCTGGAAGTGATATCCATCGCAGCGCTCGCAGTGCCAGCAACAAGGAACACCTTTAACTACTTTCTTCCTCTCGCCCGCCCGACATGGGACGCTGCAGACTGATGAAGGGAGAGTCGGGTCGCCCGTCCTCCAGCGCATGGCCTCCACCTGGATGGTGTTAAAATGGAAGAGTAGGCATTTAGGGTGTTGGCTTTGTTCCGTCAGGGAAACTGAGAAAACCTGACGTTGTTACGTCCATATATCCAAACTAAACTTTCTACATCCCATGGCGATGTGATGCAGTTCAAAGACGCGCTGCCATCTGTTCATCCTGACACGACTGTGTTAACATGCTTCTTTTTTTCTTTTTTCTTTTTTTACTCAGTGAGGCAGAAAGTGTTACTTTAGGGCAACCTAGAGAGCAATTAGCAGAAGCAGATCTTTAGATCATTTTCCCTAACGCTACCAGGCATAAAACTAACACAGACTAGTGAAGAATCCAGCAATAAGACAGCAATTACATCAGGCCTGAAAGGCCATGTATTGCACACGATCTTGGAGAATGTCGGCATATTCATTTTGTTGATTTCTTCTGGAGTCACTGTAGCAATAAAGTCAATTCCCGAGCTTAGGTTCATCTGGTATCTGTTTGTGTGCTTTGTTACACCGTTATGTGGATGTTGTAAATGTTCCTAATCAACTGTGTCACTGTAGCAACTCTCAGAGGGTCCTCGTTTGCAGAGGGTGCAGAGTAGAGCGGTGCATTATGGTTCTAAGGAACACAATGTGTCAGAGAACAGAAAGTAGAAAAACTCATCAGGGACCAAGTGAATGGCCTTGATTTTATGACTTACACACAGAAAAAAACAAACAAAAAGGCCCAGACGTAGAGTATTATGTAATTATGCCGTGAATGTGTTGACTATAAAAGACGCAGATGCACACTTTGTGTCTACAAGTGAGTACATGAGCTCACATAAGGCCTATCAAATATTTATCAAGCTTTCTCGCTGCTTAAAGAACACATTAGTGCATCTTTAGTGTTGGATATCAAAGTGGAACGTTGAAAAAAATTGTTAATTAATAAAAGGTCATCATCGGCAAACTGTTAGAGTAACGTTTACTGCATGACAGAAAACAAAGAAAAAAATCTTACTCAAGTAATTTGGTTATTTTCAACAGGCCATAATAAGCAATTGTTGCTGCAGGGACTCATCCCTCTGCCTGCACTTTCTCTTTTCTCTCTTTTATTGAACTATTATTTACAAAATGTAATAATTGATTCCTAATCTTTCGTATATTTTTATATTTAAGCAAACAATATTAAATTGATTTAAGGAGAAATGTTATAATGAACAGCAAATTCTGCTTGTGTGGGACAAATTACACCTGTGTTTATAGCGCTCCCGCTGGTAACAGAAGGTATTTTCTCTTTTTACTTACCCTAAAATATATTTGCGGTTACTCCACCAATAAAAGTAAAATTTGGCATTTATTAGTCCTCTTTAGAAGATATATTTAAATCTTTCTTAAAAAAAAAAAATAAATAAATTAAAGCTTTAAATCTTTTTAAGATATATTTAAATCTTTCTTAAAAAACAAAAAAAAAATAAAGCTTTAAATCTTTTGGTATTTCTGTTTAATCCAACTTTGGTTTTTGTTCTTTGAAGGTGTGTGCTAGAGGGTTTTTTTCTTCCTTTTCTTTACCTGGTAAATTTATGACCAAGGGAACAATATTTAAATTTGCCCTGGTGTGATGTGTTAACTTTACTTCAGCGTCTGTGCGTGCGTTTGAATAAAGTTCTTCAGCCTTGTGTGGGTGTGAGGCTTTGAGAGGATTTACAACATGAGCTTCACAAACTTAAAAAAAAAAGAAGAAGAAAAGTTTATTAACCAAACTTGAGCACAGTTACTGGGCTCAGGTGTTCAGTACTTGGCGTCTGTGTGCTTGATGGTAAAGTATCTGTTCGTGTGTGTGTGTGTGTGTGTGTGTGTGTGTTACCCTCTCACCTTAAGGTGTAGTTTATTGGTCCAGGAGCCAATAACTCTGTACTCGGCGATGGATCTGTTGGTGATCTGATACTGGAAGATATCATATCTTCCAGGAGCATCTCCATTCTCATTAAAAACCACTGGTGTACCAGCACTTCCTGTAAACACACGGAGCAGATACTGTCAAGAAGCAGTACTTCACTCCACTCGAGTATTGTGATACTTTTAAAGTCAAAGAGTTAGTAGGCTCTGTTTTTTCTAATGAATATTTTCAGCAGCATCTTTAATAAGAAAATAAACCCCGTGTATCCCTGCAGCTCCACTTCCTCCAAATAAACAAGGTCAGACTAATGACCGTTTATTCAAATGTTGCTGCGGCAGCAAATGAGATCATGGTGTCCTCGTAAAACACTGAGAAACCCTCATAAGAGAAGGATGGAAGAATGTCAGAAATTATGGAATAAAAAGAGGCAGTAACACATTACAAATGCAAATACACAACAGTACATGGTCACTAACAAAAAGCACAAATATTTTAAGGATTAAAATTATGTAAAAACTAATATCACATGCAAAAATCCTTGAAAAAAAATACTGGAATCTTCTTGTATAGACACTGCCCCCTGTTTGTGTTTTCTCTTTTGTTGACATTCTTTTGCAAATGTCAAGGCTGTTACTACGTGCAGATTAATAGGGGGCAGCAGAGCAACATAATGCTGCCGATAAATACATAGAATTATCAATGAATACTATGAAGTATTTGTTTCATCAAATGGAATGGTACATGCTTGGATATCTCTCATACCTATCTAAAAGTAGCGTGTAGTTGATTTTTTTGTGACACAAAGAAAGGTGTACGGCTCCAAACATCACTGGACGCTAAGCTACTAGCGTACATTGTGAGTGTATCAGTATGATATAGTCACATGTACGTGCACTTGAACTGCATTTGCAGTACATACTGTAATTTGGTTACAAATACTGACACGAAACACAATTTGTGGAAATGTGCATTGGAACTGTATTTACAGTATAGCGCACCCTGCAGGGTAGAGTAGAAGAGCTAACACAAAAAATAATACTAATATTAAATTTGCTCACAATCAACTTGTATAAACCTGTGTTTCCCAAACTTTTTTTCTGGGGATCCATATTTTAAAAGTCACAAACCTTCGCGACCCAAGTCATGGACGTTATTCGTAAATTCCTGAGGGTCGCGACCCATTCTTTGGGAAACAATGGTATAAACCATAAGATGAAAGTACTGTACTGTTTGTAAATCTTTGCATACAGGCTAACACATAGTGGACATTTCCTTTTTTTATATTCAGTGTCTTTTTGGAAGACTTGATATTATAAGATGAAAGTACTGTACTGTTTGTATATCTTTGCATACAGGCTAACACATAATGGAGATTTACTTTTTTTATATTCAATGTCTTTTTGGAAGACTTGATACCTGCTATGATTTTTAAGTTTTCTGAGCAACAATAAGTTTTGGCAAAAAAAAACAACCAAAAAACTTCTTTTGATTTCTCTACATCTCACCCTGCCTGTGGTCTTTTATGCAACAATATAATCAAATCAAAGTGCAGAATCTGGTGTAGCATAAAGGAAAATCCAATTACGCTGAACATGTGAAGAAAGAAACGCAATATGGAAATCCCACCTGTGTACTATAAGTCACTGACAGTGAGGATGTAGAAAAACAGCAACCAAGTCAAGGCAAAGCAAGAGAGCGTGAAGCCGTGGGAAAATAAATAAATAAATAAAGATTAGAAATTGATTAAAGCGGCAGTGCAAAACTTCTGTCGCCCCCAAGAGGAATCCTGAGTAATTACCCGAATATTACAAGAGTCCTTGCTTTAATTTGCTCATGCCAGTGAAGGAGAACAGGGTTTGGTGGTGATGTGGGGTATATATGAGTAACGAGCAGCATTTCCAGCAGAATATAGATATATTTATAAAAGAAGTGACACGTCAGGTCGTTTCTATTTTTTTTTTTTTTTTTTTTTTTGTGGCTGTGATTTATGCCCTGCTTCTTTTCTGTCTCTCAGTAACAACATCATTTGTTTGGCTGTTTCAAAACATGCACTCTGTCTTTTTCTCAGAGTGGGACACAAGTGGTCCATATAGACAGATAATTTTTTATCAACAATAATAATTCTGAAAATATACACAAATGAAATGTAACTTTCCTTTCCACAAACTTTGAAAAACTTTCAGCTTTTGCTTTCTCTGTATATTTCTTTTATAACTAGAAGATATTTTTGAATTTATATTTGTACTTAAATGCATAAATGATGCTCTGACTTGTTTTCGTTAGCCTATTAAGAAAAACCCTTTGTAATTTTATTCAATTTTAATGGTTCTGTCTTCTGCTTAGCATATGCTAAGTACCTAGCCTGCTAACAGCCATCTTCATCTCTTTGTGCCAAATTTATTACGAATTATTACTTACTAATGTAATAGTTCCATCTCATGGATTTCAATATTATTGTTTGGCATTTTCTTTTCTGTTTTATAACTAATTTATATGGATATTTATTATGTTCTTTTTTAATCTTTTGTTCTTTTACCATTAGCTAGAGCCCAAAAAATGATGTTGAATCCTTTGGTTTAGATATATATTTTTTTACATTAAATTGAAACTTTTTAGAAATAACAACCTTTATGCATAGAGCTGGTCAGATTTAAATTTTTTATGTTTTTTTTAGAATGTTTTGACTGCTTATTAGTAGATGCTAATGTTGATGCTGCTACTTTGCGGTAATTTGGGGATACTTTAAATGGTTCCTACCCAACAAAACGTTTAGTTGTCATTTTTGTGACGAAAAATAATCTTAACGGCAAAAAATATGTAAATTGTATTCACTTTGGTTGTTATTTTTATTAAAGGGAGAAAAGAGAGAAAAGTCAAGGTTACTTTGGGCCGAGCTCTTATCCTGTCACCCAGATACCAAATCTATGTCTTTTCATTTCTTTAGAATTTTGCATCATCTCTGTTCCTTTATCAAGTTAGTCTTTAATCACACCTCCTTGTTCTCCACACACACTCTGGTCCAATTTTCTAAAAATAAAATCAGTGTTAGTTTAGTTCAATTAAAACTTTGAAAGAAGGCAAATTAAATTAGGCAGATACAATATGTTTCCCCCGTATCTTTTTTGATGGACGAGGGTTTATAAAGCAGGAACAGCGACACAGTAATGTCTAACTTTCCTCCGATATCTTTTGAACTGACATCCTTTAGTTATTGGTCTTACACCAGACACGGTTTCTTAGATCTCATTAAGGATGCAGTAACCATAAACACTCGTCTGGAACGGTGACACGCTGACAGACACTTTAAATTATGCAAAGTTTAAGGACGTTGTTTGCCCTGAAATCAAACGTTATCCTGGGGGAAAAATGATTATTCAATCTCGGGGTGTTTGCCTCAATTGCCAAGTGTGGCGTCGACTTTAGAAAGCAGCAGCAATTACTGCAAACACGCAGAAACCGCAGCGACAGGTGCTGGCCTCATCCAGTCAGTGTGATGGAAACACAGGCTGATGAGAGATTTGTTCTGAAAAACAATGACGAATCTTTGATTGTTTCTTATCGGTTTTTGCATTTAAAAAAAACCCAACAACAATAGATTACCCTATGTAAATTATTCTTACTTTTTTATATTTGCATAAACAAGCCAAGTCCAAGGCAGTACTTACTCATAAAAAGAGCACTGCAATGTATAATATATAATAAGTTTATACAAATCATCCTACAAAATATACACAAAAATGGTAAATAGCAAATGTGGCCACAAATAGCTAAGCAGCTTGGGAAGTGCTAACGTTTAGCAAAAGTACCAAAAACCAAAAAAGAATACCAAATATCACCAAGTAACTGCTAAAAGTTATTAAAGTAAAAACCTAAAGTTGGACATAAAAAACAATACTTATCTACTACTGTATCTACTCCCAAAAGTTCTAGGATTAATATATTCTGTCTAATTGCTGAGTTTGGTCCTCAGGCCTGAACTAAGTAAAAGCAGGAACATAACTCAGGTTTTACTCCTGTTTGAGGACATAAGGACAAAAGACGTTCCCGGGATGATCATTTCCGCTGAACTTCTCTTCTCAGGTTTTACTCCTGTTTGAGGACATTAGGACAAAAGACGTTCCCGGGATGATAATTTCCGCTGAAGTGAAGACACTTCTGTCTTTTAAAACTCTTTTGAAAAATGGCGGTAATGCAAATATATACACTAATACAGCAACCAATGACCCGGTGTTCCTGCTAATGTGGTACTTAAATATTTATTAATTTTAAAAAGATCTAGGTGCAGCACCCCTTTGAAGTCGGTGGCATTTCCGCTAGCAGTTGTTGGTTCTACTAGCCGGAACGCTAACGAAACCTACAACATCATGTGACATTCCAGGACACTTCTCCTCAAATATAAATATAAAATGTTGCACATGTTTGAATGTTAACTGTCCCATTCATAGTTGGGTACAAGTCTTAAGTTTTGGGCTTAAATAAAAACAGACATAAACCATAACTTTAACTTTAGCTTTAGCAGTAGTTAGCATGGACGAGTGAGAACCAACAACACCTAAGAATGAAATATTAAAATACAAGTAGAAAAATGTAGATGAGTCATCAGTAGTGAATGTTTATTCAGCGGCAGGAGAAGGCTGACTGGTAGAAAAGACAAAACCAGTGCGTGGGATCAGTAGTCAAGACGTCACGAAGACTATAATTCCCCATAATCCTGTCAGCCTTAGAAACAAGAGAGGAAAAAAAGTGGAAAGGATGAAGGGAAACTAACTGAAGTAAAATAATAACACAGCCAATCCGTGTCCTTCTGAGAGACAGATGCCGAGACACAAGCTCACGGCGAAGGGCGAGTGAACGAGAGAGAGAAAAAGTGACAGAACACGTCGGCTCCTTCATCTGCCTGCTGATTAAATATGTTGCCCCTCAATCCTAATAAATGGACCGGGAGTGAATAACTGAAAGAGGATGCTGCGAGCCACAAACAGCTGTTTCCACTCCTACTATGCCCGTCCTCCTCCTCCTCCTCCTCCTCCTCCTCCTCCTCCCCTTCCGGAACCCCCACTCTGTGATTCCCCGCTCTCTGTAGAAGCGAGTGGAGTTTAACTCAGCACAGAGAAA